GGGCCACTCCATCACAGCCCGAGTGGGGATCTCCCAACACGATAGCACAACAAACCCGTCATGTTCCAACTCGTGACCCGGGCGAACACTGTCTTCTGCACGGAACAGGACCAGTCACGACAGCACAACAAACCCGTCTGACCCGCCTGAGCCACTACCAAGTGGCATCCTGTTAGAAAATTAACTTTTTATACAGGCAAATAACCCTGAGATCCAAAGAAATGAAGATCCCGACCTGAAATATGTTGTCAATGATCTTTATCGTTTCCTCGGATACTCATTCCCTTGAAGGATGTAAACTAACATGTACTCTTTCCCAGGCTCTTAGGTCACCTGTTCCGACACTGGTGCGCACCGCACATGATAACAACTGCAGTGGCGGCGGGCTGACTGATGTTGTTTCAAAAACCACTTTTAATCAAATGGACACGCAAAAACAGTGTTCTAGGATTGCCGACTTTGGGTGTAAAGTAACACTCTATGAGGAATAATTTTTCACTCCTTTTCCCCATATTTTATGTAAATTTTCACTCCTACCTGATGTTGTCTAACCGCATATACTAAACACATATTTTCTTTTCCGAGGTTTTAAGATGTCATTCAAAACCGAACTCACTTGAAAACATCAAGCATGAACAAGGCTGCACGGAACCTGGGCACCTATGCCCACACCATGCCTCGCCTACATCTGAATCACGGCTATGTATGCGCAGAGCAAACGCACCAGGTACCTTCAAGCCCGGGAATCCCAGCGACCCCAGCCGCTTGCATGCATTAAGTTTATTTTTTTATAAAATGCATCACAATTTACAGCTGTGGGTGAAATGGAAGGTTTTCACGCACCCCCTTTTTTGGAGGGAGGGGTCGCACCGCCCAAGCACCACACCACCAAAACAAAGCCTGTTGCAAACACCGGCAAAGCCTGGTGAAGAATTTTACTCCACATATTTATTTTACCCCAAGAAACTGACCACTAAATTGCGCCATTCCCGAAAAGCAGGAGTGCAAAATTCAAGAAATGCCTTCTAAATGAAACTTAAAAGCTTAATACAACCGTTTCACAAATCCTGTCTAAAGGTTTCTAGTCAAGTCGCCTAAGTAAAAATTTTACACCAAAAAACTATAAGTCCGGGTACCTATTTAGCTACTTTTGTTTTCCTTTGTCTCATACGAGTGCGGTACAGCTTCGTTTTTTCTTCTTTTCCAGTTATATTTAAAGATACTGTCTTTGGCTTGAAATGCTGGCCAGTTCTTCCGCAAAATGTTCCACCTGAAAACTTGCGCATATTTCATACATAAATTGGATTGATTCGCCAGCCGCCCAAGCATGTCTGATAGGCATCTAAGAGTGAACAATTCATGGGGAATGAAGGAGACAGTTTGAAGCACGGAACTTCTTTTTTCCCGGCATTTTTCTCCTGTTAAACCCTCAGTCCACAGTTTTTTGTCTGTTTATGGCGGCGCTCGACAATGATAAATCTAAGCCATTCCAGTTTCACTACCGCAAGACGTTACATTATCGATTTTTTATGCAGACCACCTCTAACTTATTTCGCATTTCATTCTTGCAGGTTAGTGGGCATGATTTGTATTTATATTTTGTGGTCGGTTGGATGACCCTGTCCGCCGACAAACCATGCAAAAGATACTGACTTTTTGTGGGGCGGGGGAGCAGAAAGAAGCCCTTTCCTTAAACCTTAAAAAGTCGGTAACTTTCTCCTGTGGAGCAGCTAATTACATACTTTACCTGCTTCAAACACATGATTTGGAACCAGATTCAGCCTATTTTCTGTTTTGATCCATCAAGTTTTTTCATAAGACAAATTGATATACCACAGGACATGTAATTACACTCTTTTGTTACATACTCTTGATTATTTGCCTCCAATCTGCTGAAGTGGTTCCTCATTTCTGCTTAAACAGGATATCGCCCATATATATATATATATATATATATATATATATATATATATATATATATATATATATATATATATATAGAGTTGCCACGGTTTTTTGACAAGCAGGTGACTGCACTGTAGATATGCACTGGGTCTTTTAATACAGGAACACGTTAAACTGCAAAGCCATTACAATATGAGGTAGATGTTTGTTTTTAGCAACTAACCAGGCCATCACGTTTAAAATGTGAAGCCAACAGCTCAAATTTTGTCATAAAATATGAATAAAGAAAACTAAACGAATGCCTTTGGTGCAGATGGGAGGGACAGCAGCAAAACTGGTGTGGCCATCTATAAGTTATGTTATGCTTGGAGAAGGGTGTCTGTTTCGTGCAGCGTACCCACTATTGCCCTTGGCAGAGGCTAACCCTAACTATCAGAATACGTTGTTCAAAGTGATTTGAGATGTCTTGATTTGTGTGTTGTCAACTTTGTCCGGTGTCCGCAAGCCGACACAACTGAATTGAACCGAAACACAAGTGGACACGAGCGAAAAATGAGCTTTTCCGTGTTTTTATCACAACTGCTACTGTCGGCAAGTTTAAATGTTGCTCAGCATATGGGCTACTCTAAGTTAGATTAAGTTGGTTAATTGTATGGCAAGTGGCAGCAGGAATGCTGCAAGAATCAGTGACCCGCAACTACAGTTGTGGCACAAAAAGGTTAGATGGGATAAGACGAGGTAAGGCTCGTTGAAATAATGCTGGTTGAATTTGTTGTTGCTTTGTTGTTGAATTTTTTTGCTTTGTTTTGTGTAAGAAAATCCTGTGGAAGGGAAGTGCAAAGTGCAGGCTCAAAGTATTGGTGTTACATAGTTCTTGATGCTCATCCCACTGTTGTGCAATTTCTATTCCTTGGTGTATTCGTTTTCTCTTTAACGACCGAAGGTGCTGAAAAACAAAAGCAGATTTGTCATGTTTATGATATTACATCCATGTCAACTCGAAATGTTTGTCTTTGTTTGCTAGAGCACCTCTCACTGGCCCGTAAGTTCCAACCTTTGGTAATTGAATTTTTCACTCCCATACGGTCTTTTTGCGATGAAGTTTTTCACTCCTGCCCCAGTTCAAAAGTGATTTTGGCTCACTGCGCAAAATCGAGTGACGCGGAACGACATCGGAAGATTGGCAGGTGTCGACGGACTGCTTTGCTCTCACATAACGTAAAGCTTCGTTGATCGAATTACTGTGTGTTCATACAGTCGTGGTATCCCTGATCCATACACTTGTAGCCTATTTTCAGCGACACACAAGGTTCTGATCCACATCCCCTAGAGCTGGCAATCTGGGTCAGATACAAGACATGGGAATGTCACGTGATAGTGCACATGCCAGATCACAATCTAACGCTTTTGATAAATACCACCACGTCGCACTTCGCCGTCCCTTTGTCTCTTTCCATAAAAAAACGCAGCCTGATACAAGATGGAGTGTGATCAGTCGCCGTCACAAAACCGGCCCAACCCGCCGCTGCCACGTCGCCGATCCAGTGCCAGCAGCCGCCGCAAACAGCGGCGCTCTCTCTCCGCCGGCCGGGGGGTGACCTTGCGCGCGTAGGCGGCGCTCACCTGTCTGCGACCTTGAGCAGCGCGTTGTGCGACACGTCGGCCACGAGCAGCGTCCAGGCCTGCAGGGCGGCCGTGTGCAGCGGCAGCGGCTCGGCCGGGGTGGCCAGCGCCGCGCCGTCCCGCGGCCGCGCCGCGCCGAACACCGTCTCCAGCAGCGCCATGTTGGCGTGCAGCTCGGAAGGCTCCGTGCCGCCCAGGTAGCAGATGACGGCCAGCGCCAGGCAGCACTGCGGACGCCAGAGGCGGCCGCGTCAAATGGCGCGCCGAGCAGAGCCGCACCGACGCATCCATGGCACGGCGAGGCCCTGCTGGCGGCGGCCGCTCACACACGCTCAGGCGGCGGCGGAGCTCGCCAACGTCTCCCGCCTGCTCCTTTAACGAGCCGCAATGCCGCAAACGCCCCAAGCCTTCACAGCCCCCCCCCCCCCCCCTCCCCCATCTATCGCTCTCCGCAGGCCGCAGAGTGCGGCCACTCCGTCCTGTCGCGTGCCGTACGGCGCGACACGTCCGGCAGGCAGGCGGGCATGCGTACCTTGGCACGCGCGGCGGCTGGCGCCGTGTTGTCGGCGGCCAGCGTGGCCAGCGTATGGCGCAGCTCGGCGTACACCAGCTCGACGCTGGCCGGGTCGCGCAGCTGCAGGCTGACCAGCACAGCCAAGTCGGCGGCGGCCGCTACCTCGGCAGACTTGCCCTTCTTCAGGCACTTCTCTACGGCGTCGCAAAGTGTCATCCGCCTGGCGACCCACGTGCCGAGGTCAGGGAGGTCAGAATGTGGCAGGCCGCGTAGTAAGCTCGGGAAAGTTGGGGTGGGATGGTAAGCACGGCGCAACGGACATACATGGCATCGTCAGAGAGGCGAGGGCTTCACATGCGCGTCGTGTATGTGCAGCCATGCACGCATGCTGTGCAAAATTCACGCAAAAGGATGCTGCTAGGCGCGATATACAGCAAATATTTACAGGACAATAATAAGGTAAAACAGTGAGATATATCCAACTAAATGATATTGCTTGCTCATACGAGCCACGGCTCAAAATTCTAGCAAATATGTGCGCCTCGACTAAAAAGCGGTATAATTACGCGATTCGTGTTAATGAAGAGTTCAAACCATGTTGCGACACATTTAGCCAAGCAGGTATCTTTACACCCTGGAACAATCATTACAGGCATTTCCCTATGCACCGGCACACTTAATTTTGCATGCCGCTGCCTCTGCGGCCTGCACAGCCCACTGACCGCGATTCGACTATGTCCGGTACGTATTTCTTGCTGAAGGCGGTGCAGAGCGCGAGCAGACTGTTGGTGCGGGTGGTGACCGACTTGTCAAGTGCGCCGTCCAGCGCCAGGCCCACCTTCTCCTCGAAAAGCTCGGCCTGAGACGAGTCGTCCACCTCCTGGTCACCACCTGGCGGCCAAGCTCGCGTCACGGCACAGGTCATGACCACACGACCGCTCGGGCACGGCATGACGCGGTGACGTCACGGATCCGCAGTGAGGCACACCACAGTAAGAGTCAGATGGGCTGGGGCAGACGTGTCTACACGGCAAACATTGCGAGGCTTGATGAGCAATGTTGGATGGCTGCAGAGGATGGCGGAGTGAAGGTGCTGACGACGCCCAACGACAGTCGATGACGGCACAGTGAAGGTGCTCAGCATGATGCTATGAAAGTGCCCCAAGCCAATGATCCTTGCAATCAATGCTAATGTGAGCTGAAGGGGTGGTGTCCAGAGTTGCATGGGCAGGGTCTGGGCTGCCAACTCACAGATGCTTCCATCACAGACGCTGCGCTCATCCGTCGAGCTGGTCACGCTGATGGTGTCGCTGTGCTCCTCCTCCAGTTCCCCCATACGCCCCCGCCCTGTTGCCGGGGATACAAAAAATAGCTGTTAACCAGGTATTGTTTAGGTCGAGCTCCTCATGCCAACAGCCAACAACAAACCTGTTGTCTGCTGCCAAAGGGGATCAAAAAGTTTTATGCCAAGTTTTCTATCCATAATTATGCTGAAACACAATATTCTTACATGCTGTGAGTCAGCAAATTTTTAATAACCATCAAAATGTGTGATGATGTGGATGTAACTCAGGTGACCAAATATTGTATGGCATGACTGCAGCAGTCATCCTGCACCTTTGGATACCACCTTCGCAGGGGTGGTTGTCTGCCAAAGACAAACATCATGTGCACTTAACAGTACATATGATGTGACAGAATGATGTACATGCAACCAGTATGGAAAATGGTGCATGGCAACAAAAATATGTATGTGATATTTTGCCCTCCAAATTCCAGGCCAACAAAAACTGAAAAACCTATATTCCAGGACAGTGGCAGTTTCAATGTCAACAAGCTCTGATCTTTTCCAGTCAAAAATTTGGCCCCCACATTTACAATGACACTGAACATTTAAGCATTCTGGATCATCCACCCACAAATCTTGTTCAGCTTTGCAGTCAACAGTGAAAATTTTGCTGAAAACTTGAATTACTCCCTACCCAAGCAAATTTTGTGATATGTAACAGAAACCATGCCACAGAATCCAGCATGGGAAACTGGCAAATGGCCCTATGATGAAAATGTCCCTAGGCAATTTTGTACCCCATGCTTTGGTTTAAGGTTAATAACATCGAACATTCTGCACAGCAATGCCACTTCTTGCATCTAACCTAAACCCTACATTATATTCCATACTCCAAGAACATTGCTAAGTTTGCAAAAACTTAAATATTCCATAGACCACCAGTTTTTGCATAGCCAGCTTGGTTGATAAGTAAATGAAAACAGGAATAGGGCTGATAAATTGAGTTTGTCCAATCATTTAGCCATGAATATTGTTGCATGGTGGAGGGTGGACACACCAGTTTTTGCTGAAACCCATCAAGTTCACAGCATAATTTTGCATTACAGGCCTGAGAAAATGTGCTCAACAAGCATGCAATGCACACACATATTCTATCATATAATATGACAATGAAACAATTGTAAATCTGTCACTATTAAAAAATAGGTATTTAAAATTAAACATGTCCAAACCTCCAGTAATCCCATTTTCAGTCAGACATATAGACAGTTCATAATTCATGATACTGTCAGTATTTCATTGTACTATGCTGTCCACATCAACCATAAAACATTTGTGATTTATTCCAGACTTAAAATATATCTCCAGAACATTATCTTTTTCTATTGTCAGTTAGGCATTTAAATAGTTCAAAATTGTATCAGTCATGATGGTTCTATCAAAGTATCATTCACGGTATTCTTCCAGTAGTTCACCTTTTTTTAGACAAACAACCTCCACCGTGAGCGTGCCATGCGCAGTACGCAACGGAACAATCAGCTCGCGTTAGCGGGATTGCCCAACTTTGAAATCATACAACCCAAACGACGTATTTAGCACCAAAAATAATGAAGGACAATTATCATTACCGATTTCGTGGTTTTGACCATTGCTACTCACAACACTCATATGAGATATTGTCCGTCATCATCAAAAAATTACCATCTGACAATATTAAACTTTCGGCAAGAAACCAGTAATCTGATTAATAGCATGCGAACTGAAGAGGATTTATAGCATGTACTAAAAGGGGGAAATAATCACCAAATCACGGACATACGGTCTCTGTTGGTGCGCTTAACGTTCGTACATGCCATAATATTCATAATTTGTTATCATATATCTGATAACTTACGATCCATCGCACGCCAACCACAACGACACATCTACTCCTGCCCTATTGTTTCATGTCTTGCACCTCCTAAATTATCCCGCGTCCTGGAACTTGAATTGATATTTCCAACTGGACAACACAAGCAAAGAGCCAACAATGTCGGTTGCGCTAAAACACTTCCAGCAATCCTAGGGAAACGGACCAAGCTCCGGAAACCGAAGACCGATGCAAAGCCAACGTTTTCGGCACGGTATATCTACATTTATTGGTGCAGCGCACCTCATACACGAGTCCGGATAATGCGATCAACACTTAATAGAAATAAACACATCGCGCCGGCAATGTCGGGTGAGCTACAACACTTTGGGTCAATGAATAAGACTCATGCATTGCCGTGAGATGTCGCTTTCATGTGCGGACGGACTGTAGTATCACCCTCTTAAAGTAGTGGATCTCTTGTATGATTCCAATTGGTGAGACCTAAAATCCGCTCTAACATTCAAAGACATACCCTACCGAGATAATATGCCAACAGCAATCCTAGGGAAATACGCCAAGCCCCGGAAGCCGAAGACCGAAGCAAGGCCAACGTTCTCGGTACGGTACATACACGTTTATTGGCGTAGGGCACCTGCAACACGAGTAATTATAATGCAACTCATACTCACTAGAAATAAACACACCGTGCCAGCCATGTCGGTTGAGCTACAACCCTTCGGCTCAATGAATAACACTCATGCGTTCCCGTGAGATGTCATCATCATGCCATGCGGACGGACTGTAGTAGCACCCTAAGTATTGTACCTCTTGTATGATTCCAATTGCCAAGACCTGAAAAGCACTCTGATATCCAAACACATACTCTATCGAGATAATGTGCCAACAGCAATCTTAAGGGAACGGAGAGAGCCACGGAAACCGAAGACCGAAGCAAAGTTAATGTTTTCGGTACGGTACATGCATATTTACAAGCGCAGCGCACCGAAGACACGAGAGTACAATCTCGGTAGATAATGTCCTTGGATGCCAGAGGCGTTTTCATGTCACGCCAAGTGGAATAATGCAAGAGATACACTACTTTAGGAGGGTGCTACTACGGTCCGTGCGCACATGATGGTGACCTCTTACGGCAATGCATGAGTCTTATTCACTGAACCGAAGTGTTGTAATTCAACCGACATTGTCGGCACAATGTGTTTATTTCTAGTAAGTGTGAATCGCGCTATTAGGACTGGTGTTTCAGGTGCCCCGCGCCAATAAACGTTTATGTACCGCACCGAAAACGTTGGCTTTGTTTCGGTCCTCGGTTTCGGGGGCTTGGCTTACTTCCTTGTAGTTGCTGTCGGCATATTATCTCGGTAGAGCATGCCTTTGAATGTCAGAGGGGATTTTAGGTCTCGCCAATTGGAATTATACAAGAGGTGCACTTTTTTAAGAGGGTGCGACTGGTCCATCCGCACATGATGGCGACATCTCACGGCAATGCATGAGTCCTATTCATTGAACCGTAGTGCTTTAGTTCGACGGACACTGTCGCCACAATGTGTTTATATCTAGTCAGTGTGAATCTCATTATAAGGACTCGTGTATGATGTGCACCTGAAACCTCATGTGACCTGGAAATGACTCTGGCATCCACGAACATTCTCTATCGAGATAGTACCCTCGTGTATGAAATATATATATATATATATATATATATATATATATATATATATATATATATATATATATATATATATATATATATATATATATATATATATATATATAATTGCACTTATGACCATGTATGTACAGCCCGAGAACGTTGGCTTTGCTTCGGTCTACGGTTTTCGGGGCTTGGCTCATTTTCTCAGGATTGCTGTTGACATATTATCTCGGCAGATTATGTCTTAAGATGTTAGAGCGATTTCATGTCTGGCTCATTGGAATTGTACAAGAGGTGCACCACTTTAAGAGGTTGCTACTTAAGTCTGCTCGCACAACATGATGGCAACATCTTACGGCAACGCATGAGTCCTATTAATGGAGCTAAATTGTTGTAGTGTAATCAACATTGTCAGCATGATGTTTGTTTCTAATTAGTGTGAATCCACTATCCAGACTCGTTTATGAGGTGCACTGCACCAATAAATGTAGATGTACCCTACCAAAAACGTTGGCTTTGCCTCGGTCTTTGGTTCCGGGGGCTTGGTTGGTTTCCTTAGGACTGCTCGAAGTACTTTAGCTCAACTGACATTGTCAGCTCTCTGCCTGTGTTGTTCATTTGGAAAGACCAATACAAGTTTCACACTTGAAATAATATAGGAGGTGCAAAAAGTGCAATAATAAGGTAAGAGTGTATGCGCCTTCCTGGTCAGCATGCAATGAATCATAAGTAATCAGACATATGGTAGGAATTATCAAAATTATGGTATGTGAGAGCTTTGAGCACAGCAACAGAGAATTGAGACACGAACGTGAAAACTGGGACCTTTCTTGGTTGCTCGCAAGTCCATGATTTGGTTCTCATTTCGCCCTTTTGGTACATGTTATAAACCCTTTGCAGTTTGCATGTTGTAAATCAGATTACTGGTTTCTTGCTGCAATGATAACATTGTCAGTTGGTTATTTTTTGAAAATGACAGGCAATTTTTTATGCCAGCATTGAGTAGCAATCAAAAATACCACAGTTCCAATAATGATAATGGCCCCCTCCTTATTTTTTGTGCTAAAGATGCTGTTTGGGTTGCATGATTTAAAAATCTGGCAATTCTGATAACACAAGCTAATTGTTTGTTGCATACTGCAAGTAGAATGCTCACAGTAGGGATTTTTCTTTATCCAAAGAAGGTGAATGACTTGAAGAATACCTTATTAATGTTCATATGCTGTCCATATAACATGTTCTACCACTTTGGTGATCAGTATAATCCACACCATGCATACACACTGTGTAATGGAATGCTGGCAATATGTTTTGACAGATATTTCTACACAGAGCAAGCCTTATATCTACAGCCATTTTCAGCACCATTGCATCTGCTTCATTTGTTTAATAAAACTTTAGAAGAGGTTAGGCATATTGGTGCCAAGAACCATTCTGGAACCTGGAATTGCATAAATATTTGTGCAGTGCAACACCAGATGAGCATCTTGAGGTCATTCATAGCAGAATTGCACAAATTGTAACTGAATGTATTCGAATGCCCAAGAAAAAGACGCCTTAGCCTGAAATGGCCGGCTGGTGACACAGTGAGTCATCAGAACAGCAAACTTCTTTTGGAAGTCAGGTGGCAGCCACACCATATGGTCCAAATTGTACAAGGTCCCTGAAAAAACAGAACCTTGCCAAGTAATGAAAGGAAAGTCCAGCCATTAAATGTGCATGACCATTTCAACGATTTCAGTCCCGTCCCGTACTGCCCAGGCAAATTACATGAACTCAGCGAAGATGACAAACGCTGGAGGCGATGCCTGCGCAGCTCACCTGATTTTCCACCAGCCTTTTTCCTAATCCCCTTCGGCATTGTCGATATGTTTGGCTACAAGTGGTGAAGATCAAGATATAAGCCTTCTGTGTATACAATTCCACACAAATTTAAACGACAAACTCTGCACTATCGGTAATTTAGCAGGGATCAACAGTAACATGGCTCGATTTTTCCGTGGAACGGAAAACTCTGCCTGTCATGCCAAGCTTTAGTAAGCCAATGGAGAAGGTGACAAAGTGCGGCAAGAAAGCGACCGTTCTTGGCATTTATCTAGCAGCTCAAAGCATTGTACTCGAAATTGAATTTCATCAAGCGTAATTTGATAAATAAAGTTGTTTTTTGTCCAGAAAGAATTACATTTCCGAGAAAAAGTGCCTTCCTTATTTACAAATATCAAAATGCCAAGGCACAAAAAAGTAGTTGGTCTGTTATGTTCCGTGTTTCTAGATCTGGCAGCGCCCTTACGCAATAGACCCGGTTCTTGCGCCACATTTATTTACTGTTACAGTGCAGGTAGATTTACGGCATTTGTATAGCCTGTTGTCGAGCCCAGTTCGCCCACCAAACTCCATCTCCTTCGTTAGGATGTGAGGCTCATAATTGGAACCTGGTTCGAGCCTTGGCCATGGCATTGCATGTGCACGTATGTGCTAAGAACTTTGTACATATATGACTATCCCAGCCAGCAGTCCGAAATGGGACCCCTTCCCCCCCCCCCCCCCAACATGGCCTAACCTTGGGAAAACTGGTTAACGTGGGCACAGGCTTCAGACAGTAGCGCAGGTAGGGTGGGCCACAGGGGGCATGTGCCCCCGTTGGGTTCCGGGGGGGGGGGGGGGGGCCGAAAGGTCCCTCGGACCTACAAATAAGTGCCGGAAAGGCCGGCCGGAGGTCGCTTCCGGGGGCCCGGCCCATGGGGCCGGGCACTTCAGTGTCATCCAGAGGGCCCTGTGCGCTGGTCAGGGGGTTCCCTGAGTCGATGAGGACCTATGTGTCGGTCAGGCACCACCAGTTATGCAGTCGGCTCCGTGTCGGCATGGGCCTGATGGCAGGAACCATTCCCGATTCACCCAGCAGGTACGAAGCAGAACCCAACGATTTATATCGTTTGAGGTCCTGGCGTCTGTTAGGGGATCCACAGCGCTTAACAGGGGGTCATGCGTTGGCAAGGGGCCCGAAACGGTCAGAGGCAGCGTCCGAGGAGGCCCGAAAACCCTGGAGGGCCCACCGCAACCGACGATCAAGTGTCCGATTGTGTGCTTTAAGGGCACTACGTACTGGTCGCGTCTTATTCAGGGTCTCCAGGCTGCAAGAACGAGCCTTCAGATTACAGTCGAAGGGTCCTTTGCGCTGACTGGACCCCCCTGAGCCAATATGGGCGTATATGTCGGTCAGGAACCACCAGTATCGCACAGTCAGTTCCGCATGGATATGGGCCTAAGGGTCCACTTTCCAGTCAATTATAAAGCCGGGGACAGCGATTTATACTGGTCGGGACCCCTCCATCCATCAAGGGCCCGCAGTGCCTAACAGAGAGTCCTGTGCTTACAAGGAGCCTCAAGCCGGCCAAGGGCAGTGTTTGATGAGATCTGAAGAAGGGCCCGGGCGGCCCGACGGGACCAACGATCAACGACTCGGATGGAGGATATAAGGGCACGAAGGACTAACTGTAGGTCACAAAGAAACGCAACCAATAGGGTCGTGGCCTGAAATATCAGTCAGGGATCGCCTCGTGCCGTTTGAAGACCCCTGAGACAATGCGAGTGTCTCAGCCGGCCAGAGACCACTGAGCACCGAACAATCAGTCTGAACCCTGGGTGACCATTTCCCAAGCGGGAGCAAGGCCGTGGGCCACGACTTGCATTGGACTGGGTTCCTGAATTAATGGTTGTGACCCCTGCGTCGGTCAGGGGCTCACAGTGCCTAACAGGGGTCGTGTGTCAGCTAGTGGACGCGGGTCGGTCACAGGTTTTGAGGAGATCCGAAGAGGGGACAAAGGGCCCCTCGGGACCAAAGATCAAGGGGCTGATTGGAAGGCTGAAGGACCCTATCGGTCATGTTAAGCGCCCCCCGCCCGTAGGACCATGGTCTCAAATGCCAGTTGGAGGGTCTCTTGTACCGATTTGGGACCCCTAAGACAGAGCGTTTTTTTTTTTCGACCAGAGACCACCAACACCGAACAGTTGTCTCAGCGTCGGTGTGATCTCTTGGAGCCCATTTTCAAAGCAGGGACAAGGCCGGACCCGCGATCTGCATTGGTCGGGACCCCTGCAACAATGTGAGGCTCCTGTATCGGTCAGGGGCTCGGTGCCTAGCAGGGCGTTCTGTGTCGACAAGGGGCCTCTAGTCGGTCAGGGGAGCATTTGCTCAACACGGACGGAGACGGGACCCCGAACGACAGAGGACCTCTTGCGTTGGTCGGAGCCCTCTGACAATGAAAGAAACCTCTAACGTATGATGAGCGTTCACATTGAGACAATGGAAGCGTCCTGTGCCAGTCAGGGCCCCCAGCACCGAACGGTGGGGCCTCCAATTCATTTCCAGCATGGGCCTGTTAGGCTGCACTGGAGTATATGCGCCAATTATTGGACCATCTACGCTGATCAGGAATGTTGTCCCGTCAATGAGGGTTTCTGCGTCGATCCGGGGTCAACTGCGTGGGTCAGAAAGCCTCCCGTGTCAGGAAGGGGGCCAATGTAATATGATATATACCTCTAAGGACCTCCGGGTCGACCAGGGGATCTAACCCGTGTGGCCAGAATGGTGGCCGAATGACACGCCGAGGTGGAATGGAATGGATGACCCTTCAGCTCCCGACCGGCAACAATAATGTGCCTCTTCGTGTTTTACTCAAGGGACACCCTTGCCTGAAGAGAAATGAAGGGTCTATTCAGTGTTGAAGAATGTGTCGAAATGAGTTTAAAAACGACCAAGGTCATGCAATGTTTGGCTGGGAACGTCCATTCTTTTGCAGAATTGATTAGTGAAACAAATCACATCAAAAGATGGAGGCTGCGTGCCCGAAATTTCAGGAGCAAGGACAGCGATGACCTGGGTTGCAGTTTCCGCAAACAGAATGGCGTTGGCCACTGCAAGTAACACCACGCACCCCGCGCGAGAACAACCGTCATGAAACAATGGTTCCGAATGTCGTTCAAAATTAATTCGCACCGTTCTGAGATAATAAAGGTTCCTCTTAAAGGTGCGTCATCGTTTTCGTATAATGAGACGCCAAGTATTTCACCAGAGCTTCTCTGTATTTTAGTATCGCACCGCGGCAGCCCCTGACGGTACACCTACCCTTTCTGCTCTACCCACGGCGACTGCCGACAGCGGGGGCCGCGAGCCGGGGCCGGCCTGCGAACTGCGGCGGCGGCGCGCAGCCGGGGCCGGCCTGCGAACCTGACCGTCTGCCGCGCCCCGCCCCAGCAGGGGCGCAGGACACAAGGTACAGCTGCACTACAAACACCCCACCCTGATCCTAATGATCAACAAGTACACAATCGCACGGGCCTTCGCTCTTGTCCGCTCCGACGCGGCAACACACGCTCGTCACCGTCGCCTGTCACACCGGCATCATCAGCAGCAGCCACACTGGCACTATCATCAGCATCAGTGGCTTCCCAAAAGTGATCAGCATCAGCATCCTCTCCGGCCACAGGCACCCTCACGAACAAACTATCACTGTCATCCGCGCCTCCGTCACCGGCTTCGCCTGTCTCGGCAGCACTATCGCCCCTACGACGCAAATTTCGTACGTGCCACGGTACGCCGTCAATTTCCACCACTTGGTCTGAACTAATGACTAACACCACTCCTGGCTGTGACGTTTCCGTACACCGCGTCCCCCGAAGACGAACCCAGACAGTATCTCCAACAACATACCGATCGGTGTCACATGGTCTCGCGGCTCGACAATCACCGGCTGATCAGCAGCGGGCCGCAAACAATCCCGCACAGGGTACATATAGACAGCGGCCGCCGGCGCACTGGCCAGTCTCGCCGTCACGCGGTGTCACGTTCGACAGGTGCACCGCCTCGGCGACAGAGCACTGCTTCCTGACGGCAATGGCCGTAACAGTGCGATGATTTCGCTCGACAATGCCATTGCCGCCGGGCTCATGCACGGCTCGGAACCGCAGGCGAATACTCCATCGTGCCGCGAATGCCTGAAACTGCCTGCTTCGAAAGACGGTGTCATTGTCGCACAACAATTCCACAGGTGCACCTCTCTCCAGGAAAATATGTTCCAGCGGGTCAACAGCACAGCTGGCATCTGGACGGCGAAACAGCCGCCACAAACTGAACCGAGATGGTCCACAGTCCACTACTGAGAGGTAGGACTGCCCCCGAAAGTGAGTCACTTCGATCGCCAGCCGTGACCACACATCCTGCACGTCCAGCGATCCGTGTGACCAAGTCACCGGCGCTGGGTCGATAGAGCGAGAGGTGTCACAGCGATTCACCACACCCCTCACCTGTGACCGCGTCACTGCCGACGAAACGTCGCGCCGAGCATAAAACTGCGTCCGTCGGATCCCTGGATGACCGGCACGAGCGTGAATGTCAGCGATCGCCATCACAAGGTCGGCGCGGCCGTCTGTCCCCTGCTCGGTGGAATCGTCCGTGGGTCCCATGCCGACTCCGTGACCATCCGCCGTTACCCGATCTGCTACGACCGCACAGCCTCCGACCGGCGTCGTACGCTCAAAGGTTGAATCGTTACGCAACCAGTCCCTCGGCACACGGCTCAGCACGTCGGCACGATTCTCAGCACCGGGTGATACGCCGCCCGCCGCGCCCACGTCACTCGCAGCTCTCTGCCCCCGGCCATGGCCGGCCGGCTCGGATGACACGGCGGCGGCTGCGCTCACATCACAAGCCGCTGCCATCACCGGAGACGCCGACCCTGCCGGCAGTGCGTCGACCCCGAACTGCACTGCATTCGACGCACTGACGGACACGCCCTGAAGCGCCCTCACGCCGTTCATTCCCAGAATGAACCCGAAGTTCAGCGGCCTACTGACAGTTACAAGCACCTCTATTCAGGCCGCACCCGACACTGTTCTCACAGTTACTTGTCCGGTACCCTCGCACGTGTATCTGTCTCCACCCAGGGTCATCACATTAACTGGCTGCCTTCTCCAACGGCGGCAAACAGAGACGTGAGCAATGGACGCGGAGCAGCCGGTGTTCACCAGCGCCTGGCACTGTGTGCCGTCCACTGTCAGCCGCGCGGTGGGTAGAGCGCCGTCTACTGCAGAGCTGGAGAGGAGGCTGGCGCTGACGCCGCCTCTCCGGCGTCGTTTCCCGGACAGCATGAGGCCACGTGACCTATCCGGTCACACCGGAAGCAGCGTCTTCCGCCTCCATGGCGTTCATCAGCACCGCGTCGTCCACGCCCACGGCCTCGACCCAGACCGCTGACATAGTCCCTGGCCAGGTGGTTGGCCTGTCCACAGGTGAAACAGGTGAAGCGTG